AGTCCTCACTCAAACGAACATACAGAGTGTAATACATCTTCAATTGATACCAAATTTTGACACCACATAGCTAACATCTCAAGATTCAATTTGATATAAGGAACAACCCTATATGACCTATGTGAAGTGAGATATGCTCTCCCTAATTTTTCCTAAAAACTGGTTACTTAGCCTTATATGTGTTTACTTAACAAACCGTAATTACTTTTGATTATAAATCCTAATTCACTTGGATTTTTCTATTATTAAGTCACATTATGAAATATCCTTAATCCCATTATGTCATGATACTTAAATTTTACTAATTATTTAATTAGTGTACCTAAATCCTACTTTAGTCCAATTTTAGAGTTAAATCCTTAATTACTTTTGTTAATTAATCCCTACCCTCAATTAATCACCTAATTCATTATCTCCTTAACTTTAACACAACCAAACCCTTATATACTTTATGGGGCAGATTTGATGAGATATTTTAATTAAGGTTTTTAGCCATTATTAGTCATTTAGTGAGTTTTACTTAGAGTTAACCCACCTAGTTAATCTTTCTAATCATTTTTCCACACTTAACAACTTAATCACATTTTTTTGTCATCAAACCTTATTATTACATGACATGGCTGAAATCATCAAGGGTCCATATAGGGATCATGTTCATCTTTTTACATTAACAACACACAAAGGTCCAAAGGTGGCACCTTTACTTATCAAATCCATGGTTCAAAACACACACACCCTTAAAGATATTCATCAAACCATTACTTTACAAAATTTTAAACAACATTCTCCTCCTGAACATATCAAAACTGAGGCACTCAACAAGAAAAAGGGAGGCTTTTTGGTTCATATTTCCCAAGTGGGAGCTTACATCTTCAAGGTTCCTCTTTTAGCTCAAGTCTCCACCTTTTTCCACCAAGAACCCTCCTTTAAGCAAGAACAAACCTTCGTGAACATGCTCATGAGTTAGGCTCAAGAACACAAGAAGAAATATGAGGTTTTTCATGAAAAAAAAAATCAAGAACACTTACCCAAAAATCAAAGGAAACAAGCAAGCAATTGTGGTTCTTCAAGAGAGCTCAAGAACACAACACCATGGCCTTCAACCTTCACAAAACCATGGCTGTCCAAGGAGTTAAGGGCTACAAAATTTTGGCTTCACACCATAAAAATGATATGGTTGTGAAGAGGAGAGTGAGGGGAACAATCTTTGTGAAGGAAGTTTGGTGATTTGGTGAGGTTTTGGAGATGAAATCTTAGAGAGAAGTGAGAGCAAAGTTTGAAGTTTGAAACTTAGAGAGAGAAGGAGAAATAGGGGCTGCAAATCTGATCAGAAAATGGGGGGAATATGCCCTAATTAGGGGTGCCATGTCACTATAGTGGCACCTTGTCCTTTAGTGGGACCCGGTGTAATTTTTATCTGAACCGTCGTCAAATTTTTACCTGGAAACTACCAAGACTCTAACTTTAAGTAATTAATATTAATTTTGTCTAATTATCATGTTCATAACTTTAAAATTTGATTAGTGGATCACACATCCACTAACAGCTGTTTAATTGCACTATAGTCTTTAACAATGTTCTTAACTGTACTCGGATTTCATAATCTTCTTAACTTTAACATTTTTGGTCTAATTATGACTTGTTAGACATATATTAGTCTTTATTTCCATTTTCTCATCTTTTTCCCATTCCGGGATTCTACCAGCTGCTGCTACAGCAGTACAAAATACCCGACAGAAATGACTTTTCAAAAATACCCCAATATGGGTATCAATCTTCATCAAATCATATCCTAACCTCATTCATGATGTTTATATCATTAGATTAGCTCTCTAAATATAATTTTCTCACTTGAAGCTATTCTACTGACTGTTACTGCTTCAGCAGTCAAAATTAACAGATGAAAATTCACCTATGTAAAATGCCCTCAATATAGGTATCAAAATTCGTATAATTTCAATCTCATTTCATTTATGACCATAAGGTCCTCATTATAACCCTCTAATTTAAAAGTCATATAATCAGGGTTATTATATGGAGTGATCGTCGGTGCAAAAGGGTATGGACAAGGAACGGCTCCTGACAGGCAGCGGGAGAGTTACATGAATAAGTCGAATCGACACCCCGAAAGAGAGGAATTTCAAAGACTGTGCAGATATGAGACTACACAGTTTGAGATAGCTTATAAGAATTAATTGGTACTACTTATACTAACAAGATGCATCTACTTTTCAATAGCCCAGAACGGAAGAACTCTATAGTTAAGCGTGCTTGACTTGCAGTAATTTTGGGATGGGTCTGGGAAGTTTTTCCAAGAAGTGTGCGAGTGAGGAAAAAACACACTGAAAAGTCTCGTGTTAGTATGTGAGTATAGTCATTGATTCTTGAAGCGACTGGTAATTCTGGGATGGGTGACTTCTTGGAAAGTTTTTGCATGAAGTGTGCGAGTGAGAAAAAGCACACTAAAAAGTCTCATGTTAGTATATGGGGATAAAGATTGATTCTTGAAGTGGTCGGGTGTTATATTTCCCCCACCAAAAAAAAAAGGTTAGAAAATCAACTTTGCATTTGGATGAAAAAGTGTTATATAGAACCCTTTTTCTTTATATGAAAGAGAATCACACATAGTAGGAAGTATCATTTTATATGTCGTGTACTAAGAATAAATAAAGAAAATTAAAGCCAAATTCACAACAAGATAATGAATTAATACATAATCAGTCTGAAAATTTTTCCTAAGTTTTATACGTACAAGAAATAATAAGGACGAAAATTACTTTGATAATTTGTACAAGCATTTTTATTTCACTAATAACTATTATTCCAGGGGGTTTAGCGGGTCTCTTAATAGAGATCAATCATTTATTCCCCAATGCATTGATAATTGAAGGTTAAATTTAAAAAACACGAACTTATATTATATTTTATTTCTCTTAAATCGAAATGAAATATAAAATAAATGTTTGCATGAACTTGAAGGTCGCATCGCCTCCTGCCCCTCGCGACCTCCACCGTCCAAGAATCAATCCACATATTCTACCAGCAACATTCCTATAGTGCCAGTTAGTTCCTTTATCTACACCAATTAACTTGAAAACTTAATATTCCTCACATGTACCGTCAAATTTTTATCAAGTCAAGCACTGTATTAATTATTTTCGAAATGGTACCTCCAGCCATATGCCTTATCACTTTCCACTACATGGGTAGCGTTTAGACTAGTGATTGTTCTTTGCAATAAAAGAAAATTTGGAAACTGAAGATTCAATGAACGTAGTCTACATAAAAGAGAGACAAGTAGCTGTTGTATGATCGTAAACAATTGTCAGCCTTCCCCTATTTTGCTCCTTGAGAAGGGAATAGATGGGAAAAAGATAGACAACACAAGTCAAAGAGAGTTAGATATGTTTCCAACCAAGCACAAATTCAAATATTCTGTTTCACTTTTGTTTGTTAATTCCCCACCCCACTTCCTTGTCGCTCTTTCTATATTTTTAAGGATGAAAAGTATCATTTCCATGTGATCTTTATTATTTGTTGCTCCAGAGATGCATTATTTATCTTTAAATGGTTTTGAATTTAGTTCTGATAATTTTTTCCAACCTTATAACATGATTAGTTATTGCTTGCAGAGTCCCATGCCATGTATGTTAAATGAAAGTAAAGTTTATATAGGGGTGTGAAAATAAAATAAAATGAATGTAAGTGCAATTGGATCTGCGGAAGCGTTTTAGATCATTGCGGTTTGGGATGCAACGGATCATCATTGTTTTTCTGATTACCTCTTGTAGCGTAGATTGTAGATGATGCTCCATGAATCAGTGTCCTTTGTGCTGCAGCACGAACTTACGGACCGATCTTTTTTACGTCACAATACAAACAGATCTCTCTAGGTTCTGGTAAACCTTCCAAGTTATCTTTCGAGAAGAAAGGGAAAGTGTGTGAGCATTTTTTAGATATGAGTTTACCTCCTCTGATGACTTAAGTGATAATATATATATGGGTTCCAAGAAATCCTAGCCCAAAGTTCTTTATGGGCTCTAGGCTTTTTCGGCTCTTCTTATACTCTTAGCCTAGTTGGACTTTAGTAAAAGAGCACAAACCCAACAATGAACTAAAATGATCTAAATTGCTCCAAAAGAATTACATTTTTTTAAACTGGTTCAATATATGAACCAATTTATTTGAATAAGTTCAAATTTTATTGGAATAAGTTCAAGAACCAAATTATTTTTTCAAAATCAATTCGGTTGAAGAACCAAATTACTTTGACAATTTGGTTCGGTTTGGACTAAAAATTTAACTAACCCAATTTTAGAAGTGTAAAAAAAATCAAATGAACTGAATAAACCACAAACCAAACCAAACCGTGTCACATTTTTTCGAACTGATTTAAAAACCAAACTATTTTCTCCGTACCAATTCAAGAACCAAACCACTTTTTAAAACTGGTTTGGTTCATCCAAACAGCCCCACTTTTCTAGTTCGTTTTGGTTCGACGTAAAGAATCAAACTGAACCGAATTAAGCAAACCCTCTAAAAGCTAATTGACTAAACCTAAAATCATATTTAGATGCATACCAAAGAACTGATTGAGAAATACACGGAAGATAGATTACACAACTTGCTTTCATCAATATATAGAGTTTCAAAGAACATGTTTGTACTAAAAACAAGAACGTACAGTATATATATTTTCTAAGATAGATACATATACATATATGGTCTTCTATAATCACACACTAGATCTCTATTATTTAATTAGCAACATTTGAAATTACGAAATTGGTAAAAGTTAAAAAGAAGAGAGGAGCAGACAAGGCAATCAGAGAAAATGTAAAGGAAGCTTCCATTGCTGCCACCCTGATGGGTTCATACTTGTGTTGGCTTTGATACCTACAAACCGAAATTCAAGAATCATGATTCACAAAATATAAAATAAAAATGGAATTAATAGTGAGCATAAGATTTGGAACAGAAGAAATTGATTTGTAGATATGCTATGTGCCAACCAGAAAGTAGCTTTCACCGTGCTGCAAGCTCTGCATCAAGAACCCGAATTCGTTGGTGGGAAGTGGCACTCCAGAGGAATGAACTAACATTACATCTCCAAACACTGTTTTAATGTCTATTGGCCCCTTTGGTAGTTCTGTTGCAATCCCATTGATAAATACAGTAATGAATCCTGAATTACAAGGTGAATTGGTCATATAATTAGAAGGCATATATATCATGGCTCATTTCAATATTTTAGTAAGAAGGTAAATCAAAGCAAACTGATCCCATTAATATTTCAGCAAATGCTTTGAACCTCAACATTTTCCCAGAATTTTAGGCCAATACTGAAAAAGTGCAATAAAAGCCATAAAGCGGTAATAAAATTTGAGGAACTTTATACCAACCATGGTCACAATGGCAAGTTCCTTTGTGAGAGGTGAATAGTATAATTATGAATATGATTATAGATTCCTTTCAACAAGTAACATGGTATGAGAGATGCATATACAGGGAAAGAGTAACCAATTTACCAAAAGGGCGAAACAAACAAACAAAGTGAGAATGGGGGAAAAGAACATAATCTAGGGTTTGGAAATCTTTTGTACAGAAGTTTTGTAGAAGCCCGAAAAAGAAGTGAAAGAATGAAAAGGAAGGAACAGAAACTGAAATCGGAAAGTAGCTTCATGTTTATCCGGAAAGTACAACTTTCATGCAATTCAAACGCAGAACTGTCAAATCATCAAAAAGGTTGTCACTTTATTCTAAAGCCCACCCAAAAACCTAATCAGCCGAAAAATAAGAACTTTTACACACAAAACGCATTAAACTAATAACCCTTCAATTCCAATTTTTAGATCGTAGTACTAAAAAAATGATAAAGCTGAACATAACCTCTGGTGGGGAATTTATGCCAAAAAAAAAAAAAAAAAAAACACTGTGAAGAAATAAAAGTAAAAAAATATATATAATTGTATTTTTCTTAAAGTTAAAATCTTAAAAAATTCTGACTAACACAACCATGCAATTAATTACCAGATTCATAGTTCAAATTTGAAGTAACAGAAGGGTACAAAACTGATGATGCAGCTGAGCTATGATCAATTTCTGGGAAACCCATTTGAGGAGAGACTGAAAAGAAACCATCCATGTTTTCTTGGCTACAAACGACACCGCATGATGAAGAGGAACCAGGTAGAAAACATTGAGAAGAACAAGTGAAAGAAGAAGAATAACCAGAACCAGAACCAAAACCCATGGTTGTGTTTGCAGGAAAGGTTGTCTGATTCTGATCACATGGAATTGCACCACCAACTTGAGGTTGCATCTGGTTACTTTGCTCAAGGCTTGCCTGAAGCTGGCGCTGCCGGCGGCGAGATCTCGAGCGTCGGTTCTGGAACCAGTAGAAGACGTTGGCATCACCGACGGTGCCAAATTTCTCAAGCAGTTTTCTTATTCTGACGGTTTCTTCCTTTGGTGGATTCACCATTCCACTGTTGAAGATGGACTCGAGTATGAGGATTTGTTCTGGCTTTGGAGTCCACCTTGACCTAACCGGTTCGCTTTTCTCGGAACCATGGCTTGGACTATTGGGGTCATGCTGGCCCTGATCTTCCATTCCAATGCAGATGAAGAAATAAGAAAATGTTTTGTTGAAGCTGAAACCTAGGTAAAATAATAATAGGATATGTATGCATACATATATATAAATAAAGTGGGAGAGTTAATAATATAGAGAGGTGGAGAATGTTGTGTAGTGAAATTACATTACGGTCCTTCATCCTCACCCTCCTCTTATAGTCAAAGGTAAATTAAAGTTCCATAGGAGTTACTTGGAGTTTAAAAATATTTAACTTGTTTTCGTCATATAAAATGAAATGAGTTTTGAACATAGTGAATACACGACACTATAAACGTGTTGACCGCTATAATGCAAAAAACCAAGTTTAATTCTTTTCGCAAACTATTTATTCATATAATGTGAGTGAAATACATTTACAAAGTGTGTATTTAAGTTACACATCATCCCATATACAATTTGTGTAAAAATCAATGTAACGCAAGACGTATTCACAACGCGCATTCAAGTCAAACACGCCCCTTATGTGCGTTTTGTAGAGTACAACACATGATAGGTATACTTTTTGAGTTTTACACAAATCATGCATAGAGTGACCCGCAACTTAATTAAATATGCACATTCCTCACGTTACTCTTGCATTAGATGGATAAATAGTTTGCTAAAAATTTTAAACCAGTGATGTTTTATTTTTGGAAAAGTTGTCTGTCCTTGTAAACGACACAACTTATGTCATTTTATTTTCACAAAAAGACGAGACCCACACTTTTATTTTATTTTGTCCACTCTTTCTCTCATGATTTATCTATTTCTCTAATTTAAAATGATACAATTTTACATCCTTTAAAATGACACACACTTTTTTTTCATTTTTTGCACTACAAGGGTCAAAAAGCTTGTTTCCAAGTACAAAACGTGCTTCCATAGAAAAATCAGGACCGTGTGTATAGTATTTATCATGACAAGTTAGTAACACGTTTATGGTATCGTCTATATACTATGCTCAGGATGCATATGAGCAACTGTTCATGAACCGTTGGTTAATCCAAGAACTCCTTCAAGATAAGGAGGAGCGAATACCTTCATCGCATTATTCACTCTTTTAATTTTTATATTATTATAAACTTACATATAAATTTGTTGTCATATGTATGTTCAAAGGGTTCAGTCATTCTTATTACATCCCACAAGTCTAAGCTCGAACTTTTGTTTTCCCCTAAAAAACAGTTCGCTTATTATTGTGCCGAAGTTCTTTAATGTATTTTTATAATAGTATCATTTTAGGTTACACATATGATGATATAAATGTTGCTTTTACTAAGGTAACGCAAAATTCCACAAAATCCGTATTCAAAGCGAAATTCCGCAACATCATAAAGACAGTCTTCATATTAGGTCATAGGCTCATTGCTTTTGATAAGTTCGAAACTTTCTCCATTTCATATTTTTTTTATTTAAGCTAATGATTAAATTAATAAAAATGAAAATCCAAAGGCCGATATGTATTCGAATTTTATCAGAGTCATACCATTTTAGGGAAAGTTTATTTTAAATGCAACCCAATCTGGCTATTTAGCTTTCCTTCTTTTAACTCCAAAATAAAAGGCCTACATTGTTGTTTAGCATTTAAGTTTGACGTAAAATATTTAAGGACATGTGTAACTCTTAAAAAAAAAAATTATTTTGAAATGTGGCTTCTATTCTGATGCTGGATAAATATGAAATGAGAATTTCCTTTTCCGGTCTGCGTTATATCCTTATATAAAGCTCCGTTTGAAACCCGGAAACTTCTATCTGAATAGACTGTATATGTAAAAAAGGTTTCTATTTATCTTATTGAATATGTGGATTGATGTATAAGCGGTTAATATTTTTGGTGTATAATAACGAGAAATATAATATAAAATTATTGATATAATTTTACCTAATAACTTAAAATTTTGGGTTGAAATTGTTCTTTACATAATATTAAAGCCTTAACGATTAAGTGGTTGGTACAAGTTCGATCTTCACCGCTCACTATACATAAATAATTAAATATTATGAAATTTCTTAACATAGATAAGCGCAGCTTGTGCAATGTCCACAGTTTAAGCCCAATAAAATCATTAATGTAACATCACCTAACAACTTAATTTTTAGGTTTAATTGGTTAATATTTGCATAACTTGCTCCTTCTTCTTTTTAAAAAAATAATAAACTTTGTTGATTTTCTATGGCTTCCCATATTCACATTGAAACTAAACATAACTCCAAATATTGTGTATGATATGTTCACAAATTGATGTAAGGATCGAGATAGAGCAATTGATATGGGTGAATCAGGTTTCTTGAGAGGTCAGTCTGGATGTATGTGTCGTGGTTTCTATTGTGGGATTACGTACGGAAGAGGACGGGTGATAGTGTATTTACTTGCATAGTGATAATGTGCCCGGAGAGGGATGCATGTAGAGATTATATTTGTTCAGCTCAATTTTTATTGTGGAATATAATAACTTCTAACATAAAACGTGTAGATCATTATAAATTTTATTTGGATAGTTAATTCAATTTGAATTTCAAATGGATTGCAGAATAAATTGAGCTATGAAATTAATTTGGGTCATATATATATGTGTATGTATGATCTTTTTTTGTCAAATATTCTCCTGAAACGGTTGATTTTTTGTGACTTGACATTCACAATATTTAATCATGAACGTGCTTTATGTTGGCTATTGGAATAGTTAATTCAAAAGGCCTTCTACAATTGCTTGTTTTCAGGGAACACTATAATTATCCATCGATGAATTAAGGGAAGACCAGCGCCAAAAAAAAAAAAAAAAGGGGGTCTTTGAGCATATAACGTATGATGTATATTCTGACCATGTAACCAGTGCTTGTTGAGGTATACTTACCGCGTGCAAGCGTTGCCTTGGATCCGAGAAATTATGGTCAGAGATGGTAACCGTACCCTCTCATTTTATTTTGTTTTTTGTTTTTTGGTCTCTCTTTTCCACCTCCACCCTTTGTGTTTTTTTTAGATAACATGAAAATATCTCTACACAACCTCCTTTAATCATCTTGTTCTCGGAGTACGGTCATTAAGACTAGCTCCTCAATTAAATAAAAGGTGCATTATACCTCTGTCACTCGGAAGAAGAATAAGACTAATCCCTCCTTGAAAGAGACAGTTTCTCTTTGTGGTTTTGGGTTTACGGAAATGCATCATTTTCATACCCTTTACATGTTTTGATTCACTTATTAAGCCAATAAGTGTGAATTTTGTGGTGAGTAGTTTGCATTGATTAACTTATCAACATAAGCACTTGTATTGTTGTCTAACGCAGGCCCTAACTATAAACTATAATTACTGATTTCATTCATGGTCATGTTTGGCGGGTGGAAACATTAGTAAGGTAGAAAGTAATGGTCAAAATGGTAAAGGAAAAACTCACGATAAAATAAGGGTAAAAGAAGAAAGAGTACACATGAATGACATGGTGTGAATGCTAATTATAGGATGGACAAAAAATATATATATAATGTGGGGGTGGGGGAGCTAGCTAGGGTTTTTTCAAGCAAGTGCATGTGATGATATGCATGGAAAGCTGGGTCACAATAAAGGATGAAGCAAAAATGATGTTAGAAAGTAATAAAAAAAGGAGGAACAATCCAAAGGGTTGGTCAAGAAACCGTGCAATAATTTATTAGCGGTGACGCTAAGCAAACACAGGCTTACAGTGGCTCTGCCTCTGCACCCTTCCCTTTCTCTGCAACCTTTTTATATTAAACGAGAGGAGGGTAAAGGGTCTCTGAGGCTGGCTTAAACCTCGAACACTTTGCTGCCATTTCTCCCTGTAGTTGTCGATGGATTCTGCTATGCAAAATTGTTATTTTATTGTGTTGGTGTGAATCCAACTATATTTCTTCTGCTTCTTACACACGGGGTCTCTTTCTAACATCTATATTTGCGGCTTGTAAACAAAAATGAGGATTTGTGCTGTGTGTTAAAATGGGTACATTATTTGTTGCATTTATAGTCATAGGAAATGTCTTGACGGTGGTCATTTTATTTTAATGTGAAAACTCGGTAATCTTTCTTATGTACACGGTGTGGGAAAACTCGGTTCCCTCAAGCTCCGCTCAGGGGCCTTTGTGCGGAAGTCAATCAACAAGATCCTGATCTCGGATCTCGGCAATACCTCAGCCTGAACTTCACCAGGTCAGGCAGCGCAGCGGAAAAATCTAAACGAAAACAGGAGAGAGAGAAGAACACAACCAGATTTAACGTGGGAAAACATTCTCCAATGAAGAAGTAAAAACCCACGGGACCTAGTCCAGATCAGAAATCCACTATGAAAATAATGGTTACAAATAATCAAATACACAATGTGGTGATTAACTCAACCTCTCCAACAATGGTGATAATCAAACTACCCTAGAGATGTTTCACTCAAACTCTCTCTAGAGATCTCTCAAATGCAAAGCATAAAGCTTTACTCAAACAATCAAATAATTTTTCTCTCAATTTTTTTTTTCTCAAATCTCTGACCTAGCCTCCACCCACAACTATTGAGTATATATAGAGGAGGTGGACATTAGGGTTAGGGTTTTTAGGAAACCCCTCAAATGGGCTTGGGCTTAGCATTGAAGGAGGAAGCCCAACAAATCTCCCCCTCCGACTTCAATGCGTCGGCTTCAACATCAACCCGGCTCCTTCACAGCAGTCTTCAAATTTTCTTGCTGGAACCGGCTTTGTCATCATGTCGGACCAATTTTGGTCAGTGTGCACCTTGACGAGTTTGAGCTCTCCACCTTCCACCACATCCCGGATCCAGTGATACCTCACATCAATATGTTTTATGCGGGAGTGATAGGTAGAATTCTTTGCAAGATGGATTGCGCTTTGATTGTCACAACCCAACTCGTACTTGTCTTGATCATGGCCGAGTTCCATGAGGAGCTTCTTCATCTACAGCATCTCTTTGCTTGCCTCAGTAGCGGCAATGTACTCAGCCTCAGTTGTCGATAGTGCAACACATTTCTGAAGTCTTGAT